TTCGATTTGAATGCACAAATAATACAAATCTGGCTGGCTGGCTTTCTGGCTGCCTATTATCATCCACGATGATATTCTTAATTGTGGTGAACTGGGTTAGGTGTCAGACTGTAGGTGTGAAGTTACAAGACAGAAATACGCTGGACCACTGATAAGAACACTCTGAAAGATCTGGATTTCGTGCGTGGATGATTTGTTTCTTTTTAATGTCACACAAACTCGAAGACTTACAGACAGGCAGGTAAGCGAAAGCCGACAAACTGGCAGGAGAGACTGGCTGGCTGGCTGACAGTGAAGACAGGACTCCGTGTGAACATAGAGAGGACGGAGACGATGAAAATAACCAACGAACCATCACCACCACCACCACAACAACAACAACCAGCACCAATCACCACTGGTGGGAGAGATTTAACAGACGTCACCTCCTTCACTTATCTAGGTGGCCAGCATCGTATCAATCACTCACAGGCAGAACTAATCAAGATGTCAAAGGCAGACACTTCAATATGTTGCTTGAAATATTTTTACTACACTATCTTAACGATTATTCCAGTTTTTTTCTCGCATCTAAATTCTGATTGGTTGTTCAAGGTCACTGAAATTTTAGCTTGACAATTTAACATTGCCCAAGTTAGAATTATGACAGACAGACAGACCATTTGTTTTATTTCAGAAACATTTGGGTTCATTTTTTAGAAATATCAGCCTAGTGCTCAATAACCACTTTTGAATTTCTACGCAGTTAGCACAACCAGCCATACTCACACATGCACAGCTATTTTACATGATACTGACAAAGTTAAATTATATCACTATCCATAGAATACGAACGCACAAATAACCCTGAGCCAACCAATCAGAAAATCTGGTGATTTTTACACGAAAATAACGTTTATTTTACAAGAGAAGTATAAGGAATAATGATAAAACACATGTCATTTTTAAAATGTCTGCTTGTAATTCTCTCACCACGCTTATTGATTCATGACTAAATTTTCTCTCACACTAATTATTATTGTTTCTTTTAGTTCCTAGAGGAACATAGGGCTTCATTTGCACGTCTCCAGTGCATTCGGCCCTCTGATAATGTTTTCATCTGGCTCCACACTTCTGCCTACAAGCTTTCATCTCCTCTTCGCATCACCTGCTTCTCCTCCTCCATGTCATCCTCTCACTGAAGTTCAACTTGTTGATTTCTATTCAGGTTCCACTCTCTAGTGATGGCCTGGGTGTGTGATGTCACTTACTTGATGGTTTGTTTCCTTAGGAGTATGGTCAATCCACCTAACTCCATTTCTTCCTGAATATTTGTTGTACAATTGGTTCCTGCTGGGTTGACTCGTTAATTGTCAGAGATCCCTCCCTGTTGCTGATCTTTTCTGGTCGATCATCTGGACTTGAGAGAAGTATTGAGCAAAGACAGCTGCTGAGGAAGGTGTGTAGTTTGTTCGAAGTGCTTTTCATGACACGTAGTGCAAATCTCTGATCTATATAGTAAGTAGCACTAACTCTACATTGGAGTTGAAAACTCGGATCTTATTTTTCATGCTGAGTGTTGTTGACCTTCAAACAGACTTGAGAGTAATGCAAGTTTGCTCGCCTTGCTTTCTCGACCCTCGCTGCCGAATCACCTCTCAACCGACTCTGTCGAAGGTCTTTTCAAAGTCAATGAAGTTGAGGTAGACAGCTGGCTGACTGCCATTCCAGCCTGTTTTGGTCGAAGCTTTTCATCCAGGGTGTGTTTGATTCTCTCCAGGATGATCCAGCTTAGTATTTTGCCTGATAAAACTTCAAAACTACCTCCAAATTATATTGAAGACTATCAATTTTTTAAAGTTAAACCAGTTTGCGTACATGTACATGCACCGTGGTAACTGAAGGCGAGAATTTTATTGACTCATTTATCGCTCTTATCTCGTTTTTCAATCTTTCTCAAAAGTAATCGATTTACTAGGAAAGTGTCGATAGTAAAAAAGAATAAAAGTCAATAATGCCAACCCCCGTAAAGCTAACCTTAATCCTAATCCAAACACTAATTATAAGCCTGATCCTAACCATAATTGTAGCCCACAACCTTAACGAGCTATTAACACCTTGTCCAAAAGGTATATAAATAGGAGATCGGGATGAAATTTCCACTGCTATTCATGAACAGTGTTCACAGTGGCCCTATAATAATGATAGATCTCATTGTTATTCAATGACTAGCAGGCGTTCAAGGCATTAAGGGCGTTCGAACTACTTTAGGCGGTCAAGTTAAACTTTAAGCACCACTAACTACCAGTGGAGTGTGAGCACACGAATTACCTTAAAACACTCACGGAGCAAGTTAACGAAACCTGGCAAATAATGTTGTCATCATCAATAAAATATGCTCATCGAAGTGTTATGCTGTTCATTGGGGTATCTGGCACGTTTCAGCTTAGGTTTGAGAAAGATTAATTTACGCTTTAATCCAAGGACAAGTCAGGGTTAGGTTAGCCAAATAAAGGCGACATTAGGATTGGTTCGAGTTGGATTACATTCAGTTCAGGGATATTTTCACGTTACGGTTAGGTTCAGAAAAGATTAGGGTTATTCAAGTGTTGGTTTGTAGGGATTTGATTGGTTTCAGGATTTCATCATGAGCTGACATTAGTTAGAGAACCATTGGAAAACCTGGGAGTACTGGACCCTTAACTCTGTCGCTGCGCAAGCAACTAAATCCGCATAGCTCAGGTGTGTCATCTTATCCCGAAACCAGCCATGTTTCAGTAATGGCCACAATACCTCGCCGAAGACATTGGCTAGCGGTCACGCTATGTCGTGAATTGGCAGAAGTTAGAATTCAAGGACCATTGGATCGGGTCCCAGTGGCCTAATGGTATACGAGCTCGCCTTGTAACCGGAAGGTCCTGGGTTCGAATCCCGGTGGGTGCGTACTGCTGAAGAGTCCCAAACTAGGACGAAACAGCTGTCCAGTACTCCCAGGTTTTCCAATGGTTCTCTAACTAATGTCAGCTCATGATGAAATTAGGGTTATTGTTGGGGTTAGAAGACCCAAATAATTACATGCAAAGAATGTGGTTAAATTACTCTGTTGACATAAGAATAGAACATGTGCACTGTAGTGGTAGAGTATATTTCCATTCCACTTTGGGTAAAATTCATTTTGATAAAGTCCCACAGTGTTGTTATACAGTAATATTTAATGATGACCATATTTCGACTACAATTTATTTCTCAGGAAATATAACTGTATTACACAATGAAACTTTATCAAAATAAATATTACTCATAATGCAATTATACTCTGTTGATATTCCAACCTAAAACTGAGAGCTATTTTTTATCACATGTGAGAGGAAGGTATCCTTTGTAACACACTTTTATACAGTTTTTATGCATTATTTTATATAAGTGTGTGTATTCCATACACAAAAGTGCCTCCTTCACGTGATTGGTGCGTTCGACGTCATTCGCTGATTGGTAGTTGGTGGTGGTGCTTAAAGTTTAACTTTTCTCTTTAACTTGACCATGACGCCTAATGATCTATACTTCCTGGCTGCCCAAATCTCAGTTGTTATGCGGAGCAGTGGTGACCTATTTGGTTGAAAGTCGAGAAACTGGACAAATCACCAATAACTTCAAAATCATCATAGCCAGAAAAGATAAATGACAGTTCTACAACACACTGGCTGGTGGCAACTGATGCAGAACAGGTAGGCCACAGGTGAAAGAGACGTCAGGATGCTATATACCAGGTAACCAAATCTCTATCCAGGAAGAGATCAACTCAGATGATGAAACCAATGAAATCTGCTCAAGGGAACCTTATTACCAAGGAGGAGAGACAAATCAAACAATGGTTAAGCTGAAAAAAAGGAAAGAAGAGAAAAAATATATACAAGTAGAGAACGGAAAAAGAACTTCATCTGGAAGGAAAACAGTCATGCTTAACAAGTTCAAACAGTATTCGTTAACTATCATCGCGGGAAGGGAAGAAAGAAGGAAATTGCAACACATGTAATAGCACGCAATAAGTTTCCTTGATTGTTTGTTGCTTTATTCAATTCATTGTGTGAGGGCTGAGATACTGCCCCGGGGGCCCAGATCGAAGCAGGTAGTTTTATTCAGGGACCATACCCCCGAGCCTTTGACTTGGAGTCTAATCCGCAAGGCACCGGAGCAGCGTCAGGAGTTGCATTCCCATGGTTTCCGGTGACCCATATGGGTTCATACGCCATTTAATCCGATTCGATACTGGAGCCCATGTACTCCATGGTAACTGCTTTTAGTTTAACCGCTATTCAAACAACCTTCCTGACATGGTAGTAGGACCTGCAAGGACAGAGTCCCAGTCAGTTTAACATGTTGGGTCATTACGGTATTCAAGCCCGACCACCACGACAAGGTAGCAGTTATCGGCCGGAGAAGACGGCAGCACCAAATAGAAAGCAAGTGGAGATGTGTTGTTGAAGCCGTATGTTCTACTCGAAACTGAAGGGGGTAATAATAATAATAATACATTGAATAAATTCAATTGTTCAATTCAAATATTCAAATGATAGTCAATAATTAAATGGGAAATCTTGAGTAAGCTTTAGAAAAAGGCTAAATGGTTATATAAGAGTATTTATTTAATATTCATTATTTAAACGCTTCGACAGTTGTTAGCGATGTTAATTTATTCGAATGATGTGAATGATACCTGTTATGATAATTTTGAACCAATTAAAATGGCAAACAAAAATTAAAAAATAAAATAAAAACTTAGAAGCATTTGAATCACAATTAATTTTTTGTTGTTCAAATTACCCGGCAGTACATTGAACATATTCAATTGTTCAATTCAAGTAAGCAAATAACAGTCAATAATTAATGGGGAATCATGAGTAAGCTTTAGAAAATATGGATTATTATTATTATTAACCGTTGTCAATGTTTTCTGTTTAACCACTTGAATAAAATTTTTTTCACGATGTTAATTTCAAGGATGAAAATTTCTTTTCTCCCCGCTATCTAAAAGTATCCCATTTCCGACAAAATTTTACCCATAATTTTAAATTACCCGGTAATTCATTGAACAAATTCAATCGGTTAATACAATCATATAATAAACAGTCAACAATCGATGGGAAAACACGTGTAATCTTAACAAAATATGGATATTTATCTAGAAAATTTATCGTAGATTCTCTGTCTAATCTAACTAACTTTGAAGATGATGGAAATGATTTACGTAAAGACACAAAGCTTGAGTAAATCATAAGTATAACCCCTGGCATGTAATTATTATTATCATTATGTGCAGCGGATTCAAACAAATTATAGATTTGTTGAACTAGTATAGTTTCACCATAAGCGCCTGGTATGAAGAATACTCCAACACGTGATACCTTACATTCAGTACACAATGGATTCCATATAAAATGTAAGTGTAAATTTGTATCCGTTACATTCATCCTGGATGATACTATAAAAAGGTGAAATAGTGATTGAAGTGACTTTGGTAATTCTGAATGGTTAAATGATTTAATTGTAACTTTAAAGTTATTTGTTACCAATAAATGGAGAAACAATAATAGAGAACATGGTGGGTCATATGGATTACATTGAATAATAAAAGTTACTGGTTCTTTAGGTATTTTCGTGAGGAGGCAATTCATCATTGGTACACTTGTAGAAGGTGTTGTTGTGTTCACCAGTTGACTAGGATAACTTGTAAATATATCGATTAGACTGTTGAGTTCACCGTCTAGTCGACTTAGTAGTGTCTGCACACTTTGAGCCTTAGTAGTAGTAGTAGGATCCGCTTTAGGATAATTTAAAAGATTATTCACATGACTACTTAATTCGTGTAATTCATTGACGAACGACTTCTGCAAAGTAGTAGTCTTAGTTGTGCGAATAGTACTCGTGGCCGTGGTGGTGGCGGTTGTGGTAGCCGTATTTTTCGTCGATGCCGTCGTCGTCTGATTACGATTCTTCCTCTTCTTCTTTTTCTTTTTCGGCTTCTTTGGCTTATAGCTTTGAAATGTATTCAATAAGAATGTGATACTGTTATCCAACTGGTGTAATTCATTCAGTATAGTCTGATCACGTTCACTTGTCGTGTTTCCACAGGATATATTGTCTGAAATATTGGAATCATTGGAGTGTGGCAAAAAACGATTTCCTAATTTATACATACTATCTGTATGTACAAAATCGGTTAACTTTTGTACTAATGGATTAAGTTTGTACATGATTTCCTGAAATAAACAAAGAACACAGTAATTTGAATAACAATAATAATAATAATAATAATAGTAATAATAATAATGGTACTATACTAGATAAGTTTATTTTAGATGGTTGAAGGCGATCAGCCATAGGAAGCCTTGCCTGACCTAGGTTGCGTGCTATTTGGCACTCATCAACAAGGCGTACCTGCAATCACCTTGAAGGAACTCATGTCCCTCCTTTCTGAGATTCGAACCCGCATCACCCAGTGTTGGCTGCAGTTAGAGACGTTACCACTGAGCTATTCGGGCTGGCTCGCGAGTGACCTCCTGTAGTTTACTTCAAATATCACACAATATTATTATTGTTCCCTTGGGTTCCTAGTGGAACATAGGGCTTCAACTGCACGTCTTCACTTGCCAATACTGTCTTCTGCTGCTGTACTTTTCACCTGCATCTATGTTAGTCTATACTGTTTCAACTCCTCTTCACACGATCTCCTCTATGTCACCCTTGCACTGACGTCCCACTCACCGCTTCCCACTCTGTCGGGTTCCACTTGAGCAATGGCGTGACGGGCGCGGGATGTCACCCAGCGGCGGTCTCTTCAGCGAGTGTCCATCTCCATCCATCTCCACTTTCTCCTGCATATTTGTTGGTTGGTGATTGGTTCTTGTTTCGTTTGTTTGTTGCCATAGTGATTCTTGTTGGTGATTCTTTCCAACCCGGCCATCTGATCTTCAGTATAGAGCAAAGACAGTTGATTTCAAATAAATAAACAAAAATATTACTAGTGAATAACACATTACCTACCCACCAGAATTTATTCAGAAATATATGAAGAACCATAGAAAAACTAAGACTAGTAATGCAGATGATAAAAATAACGAAAATAATGTAGAATTCAAAGCCTCTGTAGTACTGACATATAAAAAAGGAACGTCGGAGGTTTTACGTAGAGTTTTCGATGAGGCTGGAATTAGTCAGAGTGGCACTTACACCAACCAATCAACCCACTAACTAACCAACTCCCTCAGAGATAAACTTCTGTCGGTTTAAATACCCGGATGATGGATCCAATTAAGAAAAATAATTTAATAATTTACCAAATATCATGTAATGATGACTGTGAGATCAATCAAACTAGTAGATCGGGATCAGTTAGATTAACGGGACATAGAAATTTAGCTAGACTCAGAATGATTGACACGGCTAAGCAAGCTAAATAACCTGGAGAAAAAGCCCAGTCGTCAAAATGCACTGCATTCACACTTGCATGTGATCACACAATAGGGGATGGGTAGGACAGGGTAAGAGTATTAAGAAGTCATCACTGAATCTTTGTTTATCGATTCAACACCGCACACACACACACACATGAAATCGGAATGACGCAACAACTATATACTGGAGATATGGAAAGTGGCAACAAACAAGGGAAGAAGGGAGTGAGAAGAGAATGCCGAGAAAATACATTGCACTGATTAAGGCACTCTACTCGTACACATACAGCCAGCCAGGTGAGGGCTTACGGCGAGTTGTCATCTGAATTGGTGACAACCAGTGGTGTTCGTCAAGAATGCCCATTATCCCCTTTTCTATTCAACTTCATCATAGATGTACTAATGGACTTAACCCTAACTCACTTCAGTGACTTAGGGATTGACTTACTACCAGGGAATAGTCTCGTTGACTTAGAATATGCAGACGATATGGTCCTTCTAGGCGAGGACACTGACAAAATGCAGAGTCTTCTAAACACCTTGAGCTACAATCTACGAATGTTTGGCATGAAATTAGCTCCCGACAAATGCAAGATGGAGTTACAAGACTGGACTGCAGCGACTCCTAGTTTAGAAATAGGAAGTGAAGTGGTAGAGCGCATTGACCGCTTCACTAACTTGGGAAGTTCAATCAGCCAACGCCAACGGGTTGATCTCTGATGAAATCTGAGCACGGATACAGGGGGATCGTTTCTCATTTGCCAGCTCACGCCCTCTCTGGTGTAGACGAGATATCCGACTGAATGTCGACCAAAGGGCGTGTGTACTAGCGTGTACCGCTAGCCACTGAGAACGATTTGGAACCATGTCATCAATTGTTTCCAACCATTGATTTTTACCGTTTCGAGGACCCCAACCAGTCAGGATGTCTACACCTTCCTACGTGGCTGGCTTAGACTAACTGTTGTAGATTTCATTGACTGGTTCCATGTTTTTGTTTGACCTCCCCTAGCTTTTTTCCAGCCTGGCCCTATGTCAGCTGACATTGCCTGTTGTCGAGGAAGTCAATGACTAGGCATACGTAACACATGTCCTAACCATCTCAGTCTTTGTAACTTCACAACCTCGTCGATTGATTTCCCCTCTTTACCTAGCGCTCGGCCGATGCCTAACCCCAATACTTCTCACCTTATTGTACACCTACTATGTTTATAGGCAAACTGGTTGTGGTCATTGAAAGGCTTTAAAGAGGGTTCAAGATTAAGTAAAATAAGTCTTTCCATAACTTTCAAAAAAGGTGAGGTAATAGCAATGGGTCTAAACTTAACATTAGGTCCACCACTTGTTGATCTAGGCACTGGAACAATCTTGATATTTTTCCAGTGGTTCTCTAACTGATGTCAGCTCATGATTAAATCCTCCATACAATTTTTCCATGAGTCGGGTATAATACTTTTGGAAAAAGATTTGTTGAAAATGTCAGTTAATGGGGAACACAGGATATCAGTGCACTTCTTAAGGATAACTGCAGGAACACCATCAGGACCAAAAGACTGAGTAAGTTTGTTAGATTGAAGACACTTGAGGACATCATTCGTATTAAAGCATGAGAAGCAGTCATTATTTACACTATTTGAGTTAGCAGTCATAATATCTGGAGGGATATATATGAAGGACTTATTAAGCATGTCAATATCTACAGAAATATCATTCATTATTTGCTTACCACCTGTGATAACGTAACACCTATACTGGAGATATGGAAAGCGGCAACAAACAACAAAGAAAAACGGGAGAGACAGAACAGTGCCAAGTTCTACGTTGAATCCAGATAGATAGATAGATAGACAGACAGACAGGAGAGACAGAATGAGAGGAAATGCATAAAAGACAAGTTGTGAAGCCTTGCAACTTAATCGATATGATCATTCAGATGTTAAATACTGCATCATCACTCTGTGATATTTTAAAATAAACTTACCTAATATGAAATTAATACAGTTAGAAGTAAGCCAAATCTGTTATTCAAGAGTTGTTGGTGAAACTAGCTGGATTACACAAACATCGATACATGCACACTGGAGTTGTGAAATGGCTGACTTATACTGAGTAAAAGTCTTGTGCTATGCTGCTTTTTTATGTTACATACAGCTGTGATCATAAACAATCTCTAGTTAGCTAAGCAGGTGTATTAAAGCCTGACATAATAAATCCATGATACTAAATGTAGTTCTACTGATTGTTTAATTATGGATTTGACTCAGCTCAGAGAACGCAAATGAATTCAAACCATTGAATTTCTGGCTATTAGTAATAATGATAACCTCAACTTCATTGACATTGAAAAAACCTTCAAAAGCCTGGACCGTGAAGTAATTTAGAAACTACTTCAGCACTATAGAGTATAGTACCCTAAATCTTTATCAGTCTTATTCAACAGCTAGCTAGCTAGCTATATGACAATACCATGTATCAAATGATCCACAACGAAAACCTCAGAGAAGTCTTTGAAGTGAAGACAAGAGTACGACAGGGCTGTTTGCCTACCTATCTATCATCCATAATATTCCTAACTGTAGTGAACTGGATCATGCATGCCACAGACTATGAGGAGAAGGAAGACAGGAATACGTTAGACGAATAGGACCACAGAAGATCTCTGTCTGTTTTCAACATAGAACTTTGCACAGATGTGCATCAGTTCAAGTCATCCTGACTGATGGCTGCTACCATGACATGTTGGTCGCTAGGCTTCCATATCACAATGACCCAACATGCTACACTGGCTGGAACTATTGTTCCTGCAGGTCCTACCATGCCAGGAAGGTTTTTAAGTTAGTGATTAGACTAAAAGAAGTTACCAGTATAGTGAAAGAATTCTTTTTACACTATACTGAGGGTCTGTGAGCGAAGTCATACTTCTGGGTAACAGGGATGTAACAGCAGTGACGTGTTTCTCTCGGATAACCAGAATACCAGCCACCTATACTGTCTCTCCACTATAGAGAGAGGGGATTAGAAAAGGTCGACCCCAAAGTTATACATCCTGACTTACCCTACAGTGAACCATAGCCGGCGGTAAGTTTGCTAATACGGTACCAGAGCAAAAAGGTAATTCATACAGGCCGTGTGTGTGACTGGCCGGCCTCAAGCAGTTGTCCCCTGGGCTGTGCGGTCACGCAATACTAACCCTCTTTCTATTTCAGATGCCCGGGGAATCAACCAACTTCCAAGGTGTGGGCAGCCGGGAAGTAACAACCAAACACACACACACACACTTATCAGGTGAAACATCAACCTCAGGCTGCCCATGGATGCATTTTATTGGATAGAGAGTTCCAGCTTGAGGCCCCTAGTCTTCGACAGCTAGTGAAATTCAATACAAGTGAAATGTATATGAAAGTATCCTAACAACGTTACATTTCAGCTTGTCTGTATCTACGGATCCACCAACGACTACCTGTGTTACCGCGAACTGGCATGTAAGTATAAGTCGAGTTCCACTGCTAGTATTACATGCAGGTGTACAGGAAGTGATGTAGCTATGAAACAGAAAAGGATGATTTCAGACACCGCATCCTTGAAGGCCTCGATGCCATGTAATCGAAGCTGTCATGGGTGAGAGTGGTCGACAACATGGGTCGAGACGTCATGAGATTGAGTTCTGTTGAGCTATGAAAGCCTGTCTCCAGGTATATAGTATGTAGACAACGACGCTGTTACTTCTCAATTTGACGAGGAATACCGTCTCAATGTCGCTTCTGACTTTGTCACTTTGGTCGACTTTAGCGTCCCAACCCCGGTTA